TAGAGAATAAATATATATAATATAGCCTGTATAAATATAGCCTCTTCTAAGAGATGTTTGTCTGATCCATATGCTTCTTCACATCCATCAGCTTTCCCACAGCCCTTAGTTTATTTAAAGAATGTTCTACAACGTTTTTAATGTTACCTGCCAGCAATCTGGTTCCATTTTGGTTTAGGTGGAGCCCATCCTTCCTCTATAGCAGTGGTCTCCAACCTTTTTAACCACAAGATCACTTTTTCAATTGAAGTGCAATGTAAGATCTACCTCAAACCCAAATACCCTTGCCCGGCTTCCTTCCCGCCCCTTCTCTGATTTCCCCCCTCCTACAACGTTTTTAATGTTACCTGCCAGCAATCTGGTTCCATTTTGGTTTAGGTGGAGCCCATCCTTCCTCTATAGCAGTGGTCTCCAACCTTTTTAACCACAAGATCACTTTTTCAATTGAAGTGCAATGTAAGATCTACCTCAAACCCAAATACCCTTGCCCGGCTTCCTTCCCGCCCCTTCTCTGATTTCCCCCCTCCAACAGGTCTTGAGCCAAGGGGTTTGGAGTGTTGTCATGACCACTAGATCACTTAGAAACAAGAAAACAAAACAAAAAATAATTAGTTTAAAATAACCATTCATAAGAGAAGATCTGACTATTTAGGGATTTTGATTGTAGTTAAACTACAGAAGATCTAATTTAGCTACAAGAGCAGAAATATCCTGAGTTAGCATGATCTTCATCCACAGGGGACCTAATTGTCCATTGTGTTGCAGTATACAGAGTCAGTGGTACCTGTGTAAAATTAAACACTGCCACTAGCAAAAGACACACCTATTGTGCACAAGGACAATCTCCTCAGAAGTAAAGAAGGGTAAGTTGCAATTCCACTAGCTAAGGGCTGGGACGGGTTCAGGAAGGAGCATCTGGCTGGGCACTGTTTAATTCAGACAGCTTCTGGGTGTTGGAGCAGTGGGGTTAAGGCAGGCGTACTCCTGTCCTGGCCCTGCACCAATCCTGAAAGCAGCTGGCATGTACAGCAATGGCTCCCTGGCGCTATGTGCTGCTTCTCATCCACTGAGCCCATAGCTTCTACTGGCCATGGTTCTCCGTTATTGGTCAATGGGAGCTGCAGGAGTGGTGTCTGCAGGCAAGGACAGCATGTGGAGACCCTGTGCTCTGCCTTTCTCAGGGTCTGGTGGGACATGCCAGCCACTTCCAGGAGCAGCAATTACCACAACGATAATGACTCCAGCCGTGTTAGGTTAGGCATTTTAGAACTCACTACTCAAATAATTAAATTTACGCGTAAGAGAGAAATGAAAATTATGAAATGCACAGACGAGTCAAAAAGCAAAAATACCATACTTTGCAAGCAGTAACGGAAGTATCAACAACCCCCAAGTATGTGTTAGGTCGGGAGATGAGAATGCAAGACAGTGTGTTTGTGAGAATGCCAGACATACACAGTGTGTGTGTGTGACAGATTTGCATTGCCAAGCTCTATCCATCTCTTTCTCTCTGTGTGGAGATAGGGCACAGGAGTGGTGGGGGGGAGGGAAACCCTTACACAGTGTGTGTGTGTGACAGATTTGCATTGCCAAGCTCTATCCATCTCTTTCTCTCTGTGTGGAGATAGGGCACAGGAGTGGTGGGGAGGAGGGACACCCTGACATCAGCGCCGCCCCCCCCATCCCTCCCACACCCTGCACAGCAAGCAGGAGGCTCCCAGGGGGGCAGCTCCAAGGCAAAGGGCAAGAGTAGTGTGACAGTGTGGGGGAGAGGCAATTGAAGTGCCAGCGCTTGATAGCTTCCTGGCCAAACCGATCAAGATCACCTGTCAGAGGCTCACAGATCTATTGGTAGGTGACCACTGCTGTATAGGCCTTCCCTTTCAAAACATTTTCCCAGTTCCTAATAAATCTAAAACCCTCCTCTCTACACTAGTGTCTCAGCCACACATTGAGACTCTGAAGTTCTGCCTGCCTACCTGGCCCTGTGCGTGGAACTGGAAGCATTTCAGAGAACACTACCATAGAGGTCCTGGATTTCAGTCTCCTCCCTAGCAGTCTAAATTTGGCCTCCAGAACCTCTTTCCTCCCCTTTCCTATGTCATTGGTACCTACAGGTAGCACGGCCACCAGCTTCTCCCCAGCACTACACATAAGTCTGTCTAGATGTGTGGAGAGATCTGCAACCTTTGTACCAGACAGGCAAGTCACAGTGCAGTTCTCCTGGTCATCGCAAACCCAACTGCCTATAAGCTTCAGAGGGGGTAGCTGAGTTAGTCTGTAACTGGAAAAACTTAAACAACGAATAGTTTAGCAGCACCTTAAAGACTAACAAAACATGTAGATGGTATCATGAGCATTCGTGGGCACAACCCACTTCTTCAGATGGAGTATTAAAAGTCCAGTTCCAAAATAAATAAGGAATAGGGAGTGGGAGAAAGAAGGAAAGGGGGTGGGAGAGAGAGTGAATTAGTGTTCCTGTTACATGAAGCTGATAGAGAAGGTGCAAATTGATCTTAAGTTCCCATTGTTTGGCTTGTAAAGTCATTAGGATGTGGAAGGTAGTGTGCTTCATACCTTTGTGATGGGTCCCAAACTTGTAAAAGAAGTTAAGTTCCAATGCTTTCCTGTTTCTGATTGAATCCCCCATTACTAACAGCTGCCCTTTCCTCATAACTGGAGTTCCCTCCCCCGGAGAGGTATCCTCAGTGTGAGAGGATACTGCATCATCATCTGGAAGGAGGGTCTTAACTATGGGATGGTTTCCCTCTGCTCCGGTTGAATGTTCTCCTTCCCTGAATGTTCCTTCCCTGAGCCTTTCACCCTCCTTAACAGCATGGGGGCTGTTCTACAGTGTCCTGAAAAGCCTCATCCATGTACCTCTCTCCTCCCTTAGTTCCTTCAATTCAACCACTTTAGCCTTGAAATACTGTACTCTGCCTCTGAGGCCCAAGGAGCTCTTTGAATTGAATACAGGCAGTCCCCGAGTTACGCGAGTCTGCAGTTACGAACGGGGCCCGTCTCCCTGGTCTCCAGCAGACCAGGGAGAGGAAGCAAAGCGGCGGAGCACGCGGGCAGCGGACAGCCCAGACGCCTCTGGGCTGCTCGTTGCCCGCGTGCTCCGCGGCTTTGCTCTGCTTTGCTCCCCGTCTCTCTGGTCTGCAGGGAGCTAATTCAGCTGTGGCTCTGCCTTTTAAATGTATTAAGAGCGGTCAGGCTGATTCCCAGCTCAATCCTGGTCCCCTACACTGCGCTTCGGCCTCCTCTGCCCCCCATGGAGATGGTGCTAAAGGGAACCAGTTTTTAAGCTGGCTTCGTCCCAGCACCAGCTCCTGCTCTCCCACCTTGGTGCAGAGGAAGCAAGGGTGGACGAAGCGACTATTCGAGTTACTATACTATCTGCTAAGCTTATGCTTATCGGATAGTTGACTAGTTGCTTACATCCCTAGGACCTAGTATCTTATAGACTCCACAGGATCACTAAGACATTTATATCAATAACAGGCCGGCTCAGTGAATAGTGGACTTTCCATTTTCCCCCTTAGCTGACCAAAGACACTTTCTCTGAGACCTCCTCTTTATACTCTGATACAGACAAATTACCTATTGCCCCCGATGTGGCTAGTTCCCATCTTTTATCTTGTACATACTGGTTTGATCAAAACTTCTCTAGGCATCAGTCTGTCGTCTTGATCTTATCTCCTTAAGAGAGGTCAAGGTGTTTCTGTTTGAGTGGTGTTTGTACCTGCCTGGTGTCAGGATATTCTGATACTGTCCTTATAGAATGTGCTTAAGTAAATTAGTAATGTAAATCACTAGTCCAGTAACTACTTGACTATTTCTTTCCCCTCCCTCCCCCTCCCCCCCCA